TAGCCAATCACAGACATGTTTGTTGATTTCTACAACGCAATGGACAATCAGATGTGTTTACGTTGGAATCCACGCACTCACCTCTTTTTGTCCAGTGCTGAGTTCTGTCATGCTCGTAACTTCATTAAAAAAGTTTCATTGTGAGGTTACATTCATTGGTTAAAACGGAACTTTGTGAGATCGTGATGAATGAGTGACAGTTTTTAATAAATTTAAAGGGAGCGCTCTTTCCATGCTGTATACGATCATATATTCAGAATTTAAATAAAACGTGTGTTTTCATGCTTGACAAGCGGCCACGTACGACACAGAGATAGCTAACTACTACACTATATAGAAAAGGATAATAGCCTAATTTCAGAAGCACAAAGTGATGTGATTCTGCAACCAAGCCTGGTCCAAACGCAGGATTTAGTAAGGAAACGGTTATTAAAGGGGTCATATGATGCTATTTTAAAGATCATTATTTGGTGTATTTGGTGTTTTTGTGAACGTATATGCAAATAATTATAACATTTTACAATAAGGTTCCATTAGTTAATGTTAGTTAATGTATTAAAGTGCTAGTTAATTATTGTAAAGTGTTACCCAAATAATGTATTTTGAGCGTTCACTTGAAACTAAGCGCAACACTTCAATATTTGTAAATAAATAAACAGATAATGTTGAAAAAATTTTGCTTTTATAATCATATCACTAGCAAAATCATAACAGATAAATTGTGAATAATCAATATACTGATCAGCATTATTCTCAAATCCATTTTACATCCATTATCTGATTTGTTGTTTAGTAAAACAGGATATTTGTTTAGAAAAAAAAACAGACCATGACTTGACTTTTGGGGATTTGATTAATAAAGTGGTCTCTGCATAACAGACATGAAATATGAGAGACTTTTACTGATGTAAAACTAAGTAAATAGGGTTCATTTTTATTTCATAGTGACTAAATGAAGGCCTGACCTTGACCTCGGGATGATCAGGCGCAACCCCAAACCGCACCAGTCCAAACGGCACCGGCAGTCGCTCGTAAATGTCTACGGCTGCATTCTGCCGAGCCTGAAAGTGATACAATGAAAGGAACAAACAATGGGTGATTTGTGTAAAAATGCTAGTAAACACTGCGAGACTGAAAATGATGAGTTTGTCTGTATCCCACAGACACAGAACTAAAGATCAGCATTCATGCTATTTCTGCAAAACACTTGTGATTCAACCCGTTGTTCCTCTTTCGTACTTCAGTGGTTTGATTGAAAGTCTTCAAGTGGCAGAACATTGTGTCTATCTCAAAACCAGCAGCATTGTTAATGCCTGTACTGTGGGAATCAAAGTGGATCTGTTGATGTGGGGTAAAAGTAAACCTCAAGGACAGCTGCTGTAATTTACCTGGACGGCTTTCAAAGAAAATAACTTGTCACGCAAAACCTCGGTAAAACCAACAGGTTCGTATGCAATCAGCAAAGTTTGTCAACCTAAAAGAACCAAATCAGCTAAAGCTAGATTAAATCTTTCCTGAGAAAGTGAGTATTTGGACGAGGGCGCCTACCTTCAGGAGCTGTTGTGCCGTGTAAAAACCTGCAGGACCTCCGCCTACGATACACACTCTTGGACTGGATGAGGAGGACAACCCACGCACACCTGTCAACATGACAGAAACACAACATGTTTTTTATTATATGACATTTTACAACAGGGACTGATTGAGCAATCGCTTTACACCACACACAGTAAAACTTTCGACACACTGTAAGTCACAGGAGCTCTATCACAGGAGCATGAACACACACACTCACACACACACCCACAAGGACCACTCTCTCTATCTCTCTCTCACACAAACGCACGCATAATTACTTTTACGGCTATGCCAGACGGAGAAAGTATTGTCTGGCGGAGACACAGACACTGTAATAAGTGAATGTCAGAGCTTACATCAAAGGATGTGAAAACATTTTGTAAGGACTGGTCTGTTTTACATAAGATGTCTGGGAAGATGTACGGCAAGAGGTCTGGCAAGAACTGAGACACAGCGGCATGCAAAGTTCAGCCGGTGAAGATATTCCAGGGTGTTTTACGATGTAGGCCTGGCGAGAGTAAGCAGGACAAAGTTCAGCAGGTGGGAAAAAAGTACGTTCCCTAAGGATATTCCAGGGTCTTTTGCAATGTAGGCCTGGTGAGTTTGCTAAGGATTTGCTGTCAGCTTTATAGCAATGTTCAGAAAGAGAATAAAGTAAATTGTTGTTCCCCCCTGTAGGTTTTCACTAGCTGGTAATAACACAGTAAAATAAACAGAGCTGAGATAGTTGTTTGAACAAATAAGTATAGTTATTTGTATCCATTAACATACACTGTGAATGTTAAAGGAAAACATCTCAGAGGCATGTTTAGGCGCCACACAACTGAACTGGAATTCTGCCAAGGGGGAAAAGTACATACACAGTACAAACACTCATTTATTCCTATGAGGCTGTCAGAAATGACTTTAAACCTTACCACATGTGAGAAAGGTTTTTTTTTCTTCACCAACTCAACCAGCTGGAGAACACAAATTACATTGGCCCTTACTCATCTAAATAGAATTAAGTCTATGACACAATAAGTAATAATGATCAGGCAAGATTTGATATATCGTATGACCGTCTTTAAGACTAATTTCATAACCTATGGAAGATAGTTTCCGCCACTAAATAAAAAAATTTTAAAAAGGTAATTGCGACTTTTTATATCTCACAATTCTGACTTATATAATGTTTGTGGCGAGGGGGGCGTGGTTCAGCGAGGTCTGCACCAGTAAGTAGGTCAAGCGCAAATGATAAACACCTGTGTCTCGTTTCAGTAATTGGTGTGGAGAGACCGGATAAAAGGGGCCACCTGGAGCATGTAAGGAGGAGAGACTGACTGGGAACGCGAGCCACCCGGGGAGACGGGTTGCTGGAGCACGAAGCATATGTAGGGTTATGTTACGAGTTATTGACTGAGAGATTGAAAGCGCAGTGAGCGCCTTTTTCCGTTGTGTATACCCAGAGACTTTAAATAAAGCTCGCGTCCCAGTACGCCGACCCCGTCTTCTTCCTTCCACCCTCTTGAACCTTATCACAGTGTTATGAAGTCAGAATTGCAAGACATAAACTTGCAAAAAAGGAAAGGAAAAAAACCTCTCTCGCTTGTGGTATAGGGTTTAATACAAATTTAGTTTTTGACAGCCTCATAGGAATAAACAGCACTTCTGACTTAATTCTGACATGCAATTGCAAGTTATAAAGTCAGAACTGTGTGATATAAACCCGCAATTCTGATTTTTTTCTCGTAATTGCAAATTTATATCTCTCGCAATTCTGACTTTTTTCTCGTAATTGCAAATTTATATATATATATTCAGATTTTTTTTTCTCAGAATTGTGAGATATAAACTCACAATTGTAAGAAAATATTTTATTCCTTTAAATCAGACTTTATAACTTGTAATTGCAGGTTTATAGGCTACCTCACAATTCTGAGAAGAAAAATCTGAAGTGCTAGAAAAAAAGTCACAATCTCGAGATATAAATTCCCAAATGCAAGAAACAAGTCAGAATTGTGTGGGGAAAAAAATCTGAATTGCGAGAAAAAAGCCAGAATAGTTTGTTTATATTTAGCAATTCCAACTTTATTTCTCGAGTTTATATTCTGCGATTCTAAGAAAAAAGTCACAATTGTGAGATATAAACTCGCAATTGCAAGAGAAAAAAGGCAGAATTGTGAGAAAAAAGTAAGTTTATCTCACAAATTCTGACTTTATAACTTGCAGTTGCGAGATTATATCAGGCAATTCTGAGGAAAAAAGCCAGAATTAGATGTAAACTCACGACTGCGAGAAAAATTACTTTTTTAATTTTTTTTATTTAGTGGCAAAAACGGTTTTCCATACTAACCAGAGACACATTGACATTAACCCATAACAAAGCATACATCAATCACTACAAGGTATACACAAACGTATTCATCAAATGACTTGAGTATGTTAAGAAAAGCTCAAATCCATCATAGAAAGGCACCTGCACCTAATAACACACACAGTAGTACTGTAACACAGCACAGTAATATCAAATGATCTTATCATTATATCAGAAGATCTTATGATTTTATAATAACTTGTTATTATAATCTTGTTACACTGAATGACCTCTAACAAACTAAATATTCAGGACAAACCTTCCCCGGTTATTTCAATAATTAAGAAAAACAAAAAGACTTAGGCCTAGTCCTTTTAATATAACACAGCCAACACTTATTTATACATGCCACTAAAACATATATATATATTATTATTATTATTACTTTGTATTTTATATCTTTATTCAAAGCTGTAATGATAAAATCATAGTCCAGACCATTACAATGAATGACAATTTTTGCAGTTTGAAACATTATTTTATCCATATTTTGACATTTTATTTTCACAAAAGTTATTTGAAACATTAAACTAGACATTTTAGTTGCATTTAATATTTTTTATATAACATATAAACATGTTATAACATATATAATATATATACATTCAGATATTTTTTTAATATAAAATCACTTTAAATTTAATTTGATGCAAACGCCAAAATCTATTCTTGTTAGACCTCTATAAACTTAAAAACTTTGATTATTTTTGCACTTTCTTAAAGTCACACAAGAATGTGTCAAGTTAACAGTTTATCTTGGTAAACTTACCTTCTGATACTGATCTTTTAAGTTTAATATGAACATGCATATGATAAAAAAAGATTATGTACTGCAGTAGGATTGAGCCACATACTTATGTTATGTTATGTTATGTTATGTTTATATGAAAACGCAGATTCCCTTCTGAAGTCATGAAGAAAAACAAACAGTGTTAAGTGTCAGATCATAAACTCACCGCCTTCAGCTGCCAGACATCGGGATGCACTTGACAGGCCGTGGATCTTCATCACAGACCCTCTCATTAGGTTTATCATCGTCATCATCTTCATCAGATGAAATGCAGTACAAAAGCAACAGTCCAGATCCAACAATGACTCTGTTATGAAGGCAAAAGCTGCTTATGGAGCTTTGATCCCTCAGCGCGTGCTCTTGGGTCACATTCGTGGGCTTGCATTCATGTATGTGTTCACCTGAACTTCATGAAATAAAATTGAAACAGATCTGTATTAAAGATTTGCATTATCCATTTCTACTGCCTGCTTCAGATTGCACCAATTCTGTTGCATTGGGTCCATTTAGAGTCAAATAAAAGTGCCCGGTTTTGAGATGTTAAGAGCACAAATAAAGAAGAAAGAAAACAATATTTTGAAGTGTGCATGACAACTGAATGAACAAGTAGCAGAGCTGATCTTATAAATACAATAACATGCAATAACAAGTATCTCAAATACGGTGCATATGACAAAATCAGTCGACTACAAAAAGCACGCGGTGCATAAAAACGCAAAAGTGACAATTTAAAAGAAAAACAACAAGTTTAAGGCTATAAATGAAGTGTCCTTACTTCTGTTCAATTGTGCATCGCTGTAAGTTCTCCGTGATAAACGAATGCTCCGATTAAACGTTCCTCTTCGGTGAACGTGCCACTTTCCGCTGTCTTTTGCTGATCCTTTCATGCATAACCGCACTATATTATTCGAGGTTTTGCGGTTCCACTGCTCACCTGAGTGATTTTATCAGTTAAGCCTTGACTGAAGGTCTCAGACCGTGTGCACAGATAAATTACACACAGAGACAAGGCCATGGACTCATTCACGTCAGTAGCATATTTGATCATGACTTATGAGTTTTTGTCTGCTTAGTACAATTATTCTCGTTTTATGTCCTAAATTTCATAAAAGTTACCATATGTGCCAATCAGACTGTGTTTGCCTTGTTAAAAGAAAAAAAGGTGCGGTGAATGTGAATGGGAAAGCCATTGCTCAACTGACTACAGCTATTGCTCAAATATGGATCAATGTCCAATTATATTAGACTACTTTGACTCTTTATGGTATGGTGTTGCCACCATTTTCTTATCGCTATTCCAGTACAACCACAACAAATTGCATTATTGGGTAACGCTTTAGATTGCAGCCCACAATTTACAGGAAACAGTACTTTACAGGCGACAAATATGAGACCCCCAGATTATTTGTGTGATGTTGTTGAGATCTTTTTTGAAACTTTGGAGAAGACAAATATGAGACCACCAGGGTCTTTAGTGTAGGAGAAATATCTGAGCACAGTGTGTGAAGTTGTTGAGATGTCTTCTAAAGCTTTAAAGGAGACAAATGTGAGAGTGTTCGAGTTTTTGTCTCAGGAGACAAGTTTGAGAAGCAGGAGACTCAAGCAAAAATCTCCACTCAATCTTAAAGTAACCTCATTTCTGTCTAGGAGAAATATTTGAGATGTTAAAGAGATCTCACTTTTGATTTTTCTTTCCTATGGGCATGCACCCCAGCCAAAATTATTTTCAGGTAAAGTGGGCCATCCATCTCTGATTTATCAAAGATGATCCTGTATCTTAATTTAAAAACACATGATTTTTTTTATCAAACAAACATATTTAACAAGCTCCAAAACAAATAGCCTATGGGCCATGAGTAAAATTCATCAGTTCACTCAATTCATGTGTAAAATTCAAAACAACTTATAGAACATGCTGTGTTGATATGATGAAATCTGAATATCAGAATATTCAGAAATCAGAACATTGATGAAAATGAACTCATTCAGCTCATATAACATATTAAAAATGTGACTATAACACATGCAACAACAAAAAGGCCCATCCTTTCTTCACTCCACAGATTGAACAATTCATGCCTTGCCTTCCTTTTTATTCTCTCTTTCGTTTCTCCCATCTCTCACTGCACACTCATTTCTATTTTCTAAAAAAAAGTAGATTATTCATGTCAGCTATAAAATAACATGAATGTCAATTTGTTTAGTGAATTTGAGTATAATTAGTAAAGGTTAAATGTCGGCCACTTTACCTGAATCCCACTGCACATTCAGCGTCCCTTTAATTAAAGACAATTGTTATGCTTTGAAAGTATAAACCCACTGAGCACAGTGCAATCAAACCTGAATAGCCCACTTCACCAGCAATCACTATATACTTTACTTTACTTTTGCATACTTTTGCATTTATACTTGTAAACAATGTCAGTATTGCCAGATATAAACTCAGAATTGCAATGTATATACTCAGAATTCTTTTTCTCACAATTCTAAGTTTACATCTCACAATTCTCAGTTACAAATTCTGTTGTTTTGTTTCCCGCCATGAAATAAAAAATAAAAAGGTATTGCAACTTTTTATCTCAAATTCTGGCTTTTTTCCTTGCAGCTGCAAGTTTATATTTCACTATTCGGACTTTTCATCTCAGAATTGCAAATTATAAACAATTACTACTTTGCAAGTTAACTTGAAATTCTCAGAATTGCAAGAAAACAATTAAGAATTGTGAGATAAGAAGTCCCCTTTTTATGTTTTTACCTTTTTTTTTTCTTTTTATCCCATAGCAAAAACGGGCTTCCATTTACCCAATTACATTTATATGGAAAAATAATTGTTTTTAAATAATTATTTATACAATTTAATGTAGACCTAAAAAGTACATATGTCATCATGACTTAAATCTTTATTAAATGTTTTTTTTTAAATTATTATTCATGCAACTAACAACCCAATAAATCATGCTCACATTTTTTAGCCAATGGAATGTATTTTAGAAATACAGCAAGGCAGCATTTTTTTTTTAGAAGAACAGTTCTCCAAAAAATAAACATCAGAATTTCCCTTAATAATTCTCATACCAAACCTGCATGGCATCCTTCAGTGGACCGAAAACGAGAAGCTCTGGAGAATGTTGCTTTTCCTGTCTATCATGAACGTGCATGGTGACCAGGGACTTTCAAGTTTCTATCTAGCATATCAGCATCAAATAGTAGTATAAAGGCCATTCCAATCTTCTAAAGCCATATGAGGCTTTATGTAGGGAAAAAGTGTCCTGGTACATTTGATTCCTGCATTGCATGCAGCCTGTTGGGAGAACATCAAAGCAGTGGACTTGGAAGACCGCAAAGGATCTTCAAGCATGCTTGGACTGTACTGACTGGGATGTAATCAGGACGGCTACCAACAGTCAGGATGTGTTCACAGAGGCTGTGACATCATACAAATGCAATCCCAAGTGTCTCACCCCTAAGTCTAAATGCATAGGAAAAATTGCATTTAAATTATAATTTTGCTACAGTTCTTACATATCTAATCAATTGGGTTAACACATTTTCATTTTCATTTTGCAACTTATAAAGCGTTAAAAGATGTATTTGTTTTACATATTAAAGGGGTCATATGATGTTGCTAAAAAGAACAGTATTTTTGCAACTTTACAGATCTTCTTTATGCACCAAGAGCTTGTAACACTCTAAAGAGAAAGGAAAAATTGAAATCGCATCATACGACCCCTATAAAACTAGTGTAGGAAATGGCAAATGTAAATTATATAATTGAATTTTCATTTTCATTTTGCACTAAGCGTTGCACATATGTATGGGAAAATGTACATTTAAATACAGAAATAGATTGCCATTTCACACATTGCATTGCCATTTTGACCGGGAAAACATGTATCTGACCCCTGAACCATCAGTACTGGCTCCCCCCAAGGCTGTTCTTTCACCTCTCCTCTTCTCTCTATACACCAAAGGCTGCACCTCCAGTCACTGAAGTTTACAGATGACACCACTCTCATTGGACTCATCTCTGAAGGGGATAGGTGGGAGCTTGACCATCTGGTGCAGCCATAACCTGGAGGTCAATGGTGTGAAAACAGTGGCGATGGCGATTGACTTCAGGAAGAACCCAGGCCCCACTGCCCCCACTGGCATGTGTAACTCCTCAGTCGACACTGTGGACTCCTTCCACTTCCTTGAAAACATCATCACCCATGAGCTCAAACAGGAGTTCAACATCAACACTCTGATTAAAAAAGCATAGCTTTCTGAGGCAGCTTAAGAAGTTTAACCTACCAAAGACAATGTTGGTGAACTTCTACACCTCCATGATTGAGTCCATACTCACCTCCTCCATCACCATCTGGTACGCTGCTGACAAAGACAGACTGCAACGTGTCATTCGCTGTGCTTAGAAGGTCATTGGATGCAACCTGCCAACTCTTCAGGACCTGTACATTTCTAGAACCCTGAAGCGGACATTTAAAGGGATAGTCCACCCAAAAATGAAAATAACACATGATTTACTCACCATCAAGCCATGGTATATATGACTTTCTTCTTTCAGACGAATACAATCGGAGTTATATTAAAAATGTCCTGGCTCTTCCAAGCTTTATAATGGCAGTGAATGGCTGTTGAGATTAAACAGTCCAATAAACTGCGTCCATCCATCATAAAAAGTGCTCCACGCGGCTCCGGAGGGGTGGATAAAGGCCTTCTAAAACAAATCAATGCATTTGTGTAAGAATAATATCCATATTTAAAACTTTATAAACCGTAATCTCTAGCTTCCGCTAACTGTTGTACACGTACGACTATGTGTACATAGGCGCTACATAAGCTCCAGTGAGAATATAGTCTTGTGACAAGTTTTGTTTATAGAAAAGGAAAACTAGTCTCCTCTTGGTTTATATCGAAATCCTCCGACATTTTTCTTTACAAATCCTCGTTTTGTTAGTTTTGTACTTCTAATTCTTGAACAGTGTTTTGTTTTGTCTTCTCGGTGCTCTCGGTTCACAGACTTCTATTAGACTATTGAATCTCAACACCTATTATTATTATTATTATTATATTTATTTAAAATTTATTTGAAAAGGGACCATGCACAATTTTAACATAAATGTTTCCCTTTCATGCATTGTACCGAATTTAGCTAATGGCTAGTTTTCATCCGAGGTCCCTTGGCAGGTAATTACTAACATAAAGACATAAAAAACAAACACGTACAGTACAGTAAAACATATACATACATACACATCCTATCAGAGCCAGAATAAAACAATAAAAAAGTTCAGTTAAACCACAACCATGTCAATCATTCACTGCCATTATAAAACTGGGAAGAGCCAGGAAATTTTTTTATATAATTCCGACTGTATTCGTCTGAAAGAAGAAAGTCATATACACCTAGGATGGCTTAAGGGTGAGTAAATCATGAGGTAATTTAAATTTTTGGGTGAACTATCCCTTTAAGATTGTGGCTGACCCCTCTCACCCTGGACACAATCTTTTTTAGTCACTATTCTCCAGCAGGAAGCTGCGATCCATTAGGACCAGAACATCACACCACAAAACAGTTTCTTATCTGCCCACATGTACACATTAGATTAAACTAGATAAAAAAGTTTGTCAAGACAAACTTTAGGTTGGCTCGAGAAAGCCTAGCCTGAAAGTTTAAAGCAGTTGTAAAAGCCTGAAGTTTGAAAATTTAGATAGATTAGATCGATGTTGATAACATGTTTCTAGCATGATTAGCATGTTTTTAACATGATTGGCCTGTTACTAGCATTTTGCTGGCATGGTTAGCATGTTGCTAGCATGATTAGCAAGTAACTAGTATGTTGCTAGCATGATTAGCAAGTTACTAGCATGTTGTTAGCATGATTATCTAGCATTTTTCTAGCCTGATTAGCATGTTACTAACATGTTGTTAGCATTATTAACAAGTGACTAACACTGGCCCACTTTTACACATCCTGCACAAATCTAATATATTTCTTAGGTGTTTTCTTCATCTTATTTAATCTTTCTCTCCCTTTACCTATCTCACCTTACAATTTATCTTGTTATTTTTTTTTTGTT